CGTTCAATTCCTGGAGCCCTATTCTTTGCTAATGCCTTTAGTGCACCTTGGACTTCTTCCTCAATCATGTGCTACTTCTTGAAATTGACCATTTCTTTTTAGTATATTGACTCTGTGTATTCCTTCCATCTTCTTTTGATGCTTTCTGTATCTTTCAATATTTTGCCCATAGAATCCATCAGTATTTCAAGTTGAGGCTTGAATTTTTTCCTCAGGATTTTCAGCTTGACAAATGCTGAGTCTGTTCTTTCTTCCCTTTTGGTTTCTTTGCACATTTCACTATAGGATTTGATTTTGTCTTTTCAAACTGCCCTTTGGCATTTTCTGTTCAACTCCTTTACCTCTTCATTTCTCCCATTTGCTTTAACATCTTTAGGCTGGAGGGCCAGTCTCTTCTGATGTTAATTTTGACCTTTACTTTCTTTCTTGCCTTCTTAATGGCCTTTTGCTTTCTTCCTGTATGATGTTCTTGATGTTATCCCACAACTCTTCTGGTCTTTAGTGGCTAATGCATCAAATCTCTTCTTGAGATGATCTCTAAATTCAAGTGGGATATATTCAAGGTCATATTTTGGCTCTCGTGGACTTCTTTAATTTTCTTCAGTTTCAGCTTGAACTTGCATATGAGCACTTGATAGTCTGTTCCGCAATCTTCCCCTGGCCTTGTTTTGGCTAATGATATGGAGCTTTTCCACTGTCTGTGGATTCCATCTGATGAGGTCTATGTGTATAGACATCTTTCATGTTGTTTAAAAAAGGTATTTGCAATGAAGAAGTCATTGGTCTGGCAAAATTCAATCATGCAATCTCCTGCATCATTTCTATCACTAAGGCCATATTTTCCAATTACTCCTCCTTCTTTGTTTTCAACCTTTGCATTCCAATCATCAGTAATTATGGGAGATAAAACTTGTATTACTAGCCAATGTTTATCAATAATTTACATTATTTTATTTTAAAGATAAATTTTCTACTGGTAAGGAGTATCATTAGTAAATTTTGAAAGCCATGTCATGTTTAAATAGAACCATAAGGTATTAAGATTTATTGATTCATTTTTTTCTTTATGTACTCAGAGGTTACAAAAAAAGAGAGAAAACGAGGATATAGGTTTCCCAAAAATGTCCAGAATGCTATCTGTGGGTATAATTTTGAGTATATTTCAAACTTTACGAGAAAGTCAGTGTTCAGAGCTATGATAATACATCTGTCTGGAAAACATGAGTTATAACCAAAAATTTGGCACACTCTTAACCAGGACTTCTTGGATGAGCACACTGCATAAAAAGAACAAAAATAACAACTCATAACCCAAGTTAAATAGTTCTCTTATGTTTGTTTGGCACTTGTATTCCAAATATGGAGAAAAAGCATCTTTGTATATAAAACACACATGCACAACTTAATAAAAGCAACAAAAACATTAGCAATGAGTTGGGACTAACTGAAAATGATGATCATTTTTATTGGTTTGTTTTCAAAAGGCAAAGTATTTAATGGTAAGATAATAACAAATCTTTGTACTGGCCAGTAAAAATTCCATGGATTTGTGCCTTTCAACACGAGTCACGTAGATAATGTCAGCTCTGTGTGGCTGTGGAATGGAAGAGAGTCTGGGTTAGGCTTTCATGCTCTGTGCAATCACTCTTGTGTCTGGCCCAAACTCAGGTTGTCCTGACTCTTTATGTGGTTCCAACCACATCTATCAGAACAGCCATCACTTCCTTCATGACTTCCGTGTCCACCTACTGCTTAGGATAAAACCTGTGACAACATGTCTTTATAAAGAAAAGACAATGGCATTATGTGACCTCAGTATACATTGATCATCACCAACCCTCACAGTTTTATAGATAAGAAAAACGAGGCTAGATTTTAAGTCTTTTGCTAATTTTCATACATTGTTTAAGTTTGAGGTAGGGCTTGCCGGGTATTCTTCCCTGGAATTGTTGGGAGGCACTTTTCTTTGAGTCGTCCATTTCTTCATGTATTGTCCGCACACACATGGCTTACCTTTATTCTGAATGATCTTTTCAGAGATATTTATATAGAAAATAAGCTTGAAGTATAGAGATGGCGCCTTACTCTGGAACAATGAGCAGATTTGTTTCTTGTCTGGTGTGTTAGGATAATTGTGTGGCACTGTAGGATCAGCACTGGACTGTGAACCCCAAGGTTGTTAGTTTAAGGTGTCAGCCGCTCCTTGGAAACCCTATACAGGGTCACTGTGAGTAGGAATCCATTGGAGGACACTTCATAACAACAGAAACATTAAGAACACATTAGAACTCCATTGTTGTTGTTGTTAACAGCAACCCTTAATAAGGTTTCCAGGAAGCAACTGGTAAGCTTGAACCACTGACCTCGCGGTTCAAACTGATCTTGCAGTCTAGCGCATTAACCCACAATGCCTACCAGGCTCCATTTTGGGGAAATAATAAAAGGATAGCTTCTTTCTTAAACAAATAAAAATAATGTGACTGCAGACATATACATAGTTGATGTTGGAGAAGAATATTGAAAGTACCATGGACTGCCTGAAGAACAAACAAATTTGTGTTGGAAGAAGTAAAGCCAGAATGCTTCTTAGATACCAGGATGGTGACACTTCATCTCTCATACTTAAATGCGGACCAGTCCCTGGAGAAGGACATCATGCTTGGTAAAATGGAGGGTTAGTGAAAAAGAGAAAGATCCCCAAAAAGCTGGATTGGCACAGAGATAGCAGCAACAGGCTCAGGCTTAGCAAGGATTATGAAGTTGGCGCAGGAGTGGGCAGTGTTTTGTTCTGTGTGCATAGAGTTGCTATAAGTTGGAAACAACAGGATGGCACTTATCAACAGCTAAGGAAGCTACATTTTCCAAAGGATATTAAAAAAGAAATCCATAAACTCCCTATAGTTATGGTACATAGTGGCAGAATTGAAATATCTGGATTCAATATGTATACTTTTTTCTGCCGCCAAAGGAAGCGAAGTTTAAAATGGCACAGGTCATTTTGATTTTAAACAGAATGGCTAGATTTTATAGTGCCATGTGTAGTTTTATTATCTAACCACCTTAATAGCACTTTTAAGTAATGAAAGGTTGCTATCTAATATAGCTTCAATTTTCAATGGTCACCACAAACAAAATATTCTTACTCTTATGAGTGTTGACTTTATGCCATATAGTATCTATTCATAGCAATAGTCTGCAGTAAAAGCTAGTGTTTATAAAGCTTAAATTATCAATAGTGTTGTAGAGTCACACATTCAAGAGACTTATCTTCAGCCAGAAAAATGTATGACAGGAGAAATAATTCCATTAAAAAGTTTGTATATTCTGAGAAACTAATTTGTTAAACAGATAAATGGAAATTAAGACACCAGAGTGGAGAATGGTGTACATTTGTTTGAAATATACAGGTGTTCTTGGAATAAACAGTGTGTAAAGAGAAAGGTTTAAAAAAAAAAAAAGTCTTAAGTTTTCTGGGATCAAAATATAAGACATAAAATTGTACAGTAGCTCTTTGGGTAATTTTTAAATTGGTAGTCCATTTCTCCATTTCTGACTATACACAGGTTTTTACTCCTAGGAGTCTAGTCTACTAACCAAAATGATTTTGGAATGTCAATAACAACAAAGAAAAGCACACTTTAAAAGTATGTGGGATCTGCCCCAAATAATTTTTTTTTCAGATTGTCAATTAAACAATTTCTGGATATTTATTAAAGTTGTGTTGATGTTGCTAAATGTCTTGGAGTCAGTTCCAACTCATAATGACCCTGCATAGGATTTCCAAGAAGTGGCTGGTGGATTTGAACCTTGTGGTTAGCTTTCCAATGCTTATCCTAAAGCACCACACCATGACTCCAAAGCTGCCTTAATGGAAACAATGATCTTATTCTTTATTGCTTCTCATAAAAGCATTACTGATCTATGAAACAAAATTTAAAACTATCCAGCTAGAATGGTAATCACGCAATAAATCAAACACTTGAAGTTTATGGTTTCAGTTACATTGTTATATAAAACAACAACTAGAGAACCAAGTTCAAATGATTAGTGTTTATTTTATTAAAGTATTGAAAAGTGAAAGTTGGATTGCTCATTCAATTTTATTTCACTTTGTTTTCTAGTAGATGATGGTAGAAGATGGTAGCCTTCAGAACGGTACATGTCAAAGTAACATGTTTGGGGTGAGAGTAAAAAGCCCACAAAAAAGCAGATAGGTTCAGATCTAGCATCAGTTTTCTGATTCCAGTATGATACAAATAATTACAATTTTAAAAATTAAAGCTATACAGATCTAAATTTTAGTTGTATTACAAAAACCTTTCTAGAGTTAGAAACTATGAAACAGTAAAGGGGGTTTAAGGAAAAAATTGGAGGACATTTTCATTGATATTTTTTAAAATAAGCTATAATTCTATCTGAGGGTTTATTTCATCCATGAGGACTAATATACTTTCTGATGTTCTTTTTCACTCTGGGGATCTATAAGCAAACTGAAGACGGTGATTTTTCTCCCAAACTTCTAATATAGTTGAGACACAGAATTTATTCATTTAACAACCTCTCTTAAACACATAGGCAAATTGAGGGCATTCCAGCAAAGAATACATTTGTTAGAATCACCATAACGTAACCATGAAGAAATACGTATTTTAAATATCCTTAGTTTATATAACCAAGAAGAACTATAATGAATAATTAAAAAATAAAAAAGCAGCAATTATTTTAAAGATAAACCAAAGGAGGAAAAGGAATGCTCATCTTGGAAGAATGAAGGCAAAACTAGAATGTCAATGAATATCAATGTTAGACATTTGTATTCATTATTATCCAAGTCTTCCTGTTGGTAAAACCTCCTGAACTATAAAGTATGTGTGGTAGTAGAATTAACTTAACTAGGAAATGAGCTAAGCATGCTGATCAGAGACTTCATTACTTAGGGTTTGCAAGGAAGGCAACAGAGCTCACATTTTTTATGCAAAAGAAGGCCAACTAAAGATTACCTGGATATCTTCTAATCATTTGGCATAATCCTTCCTTTCTGCAAAGCTGATGCTGTATTTCTGGTAATACGTTTACCTGAAAAGAATGTCAAAAAATTACAGAGTTAGGCATGCATGAATGCAGAAGCAAAGAAAAGGTAAAACAAAACAAAAACAAACTCAGAGAACACACGTATATGTATATACCAGGGGGCTTCAAAAAGTTTGTGGGGAAAATTCAATTCTTTATCAATCCATTTTTTCCCACAAACTTTTTGAAGCTCCCCCTTGTATACCAAGTATTTTCTACACAATTTACATTGTACCTCCAAATCTCTGTAGGCCAACATTCTATACTAAAATTCGAGTATTTGATAACATAAAAACTTGTCCTTACAACTCTTTAAAATATTTCGGTATCTGTTCAAAAACCTTGCTATATTTAAGAGCCATAATATTTTCTAGACATGAAAAGGGATACTTTTTGTCTTTATTGCACACATAGTACCAAAAATAGCTTGATAGTTGCAAATTTTGTTTTGGCAAGCAACATCACTACACAGCTCAACTCCAAAGCCCCACAGGTCATCAGTGATTTTCTATCGGACAAACATAGTGAAAATTCAATGCTAAACCTTTTTGAAAATCTCAAATATACTTTTCCCATCATACTAAAGTATATTATTGCTTCTAAATCAAACAAACAAAAAAACACCCCTAGTTTTGTAATACTCGGTTTTTAAAATTTTTGTTCTTAGATTTATAAAGATCATCATAAATTCAGATTTTTTTTATTATTGTAAAATGGAGAAAGGATACAGAAGAGCTTAATTCTCTCCTTGTAATTTTCTACTTTGGCTTTGTAGTTATCAACTAAATCACAGAAATCATATCAAAGATGGTAAAGCCTTGATAGAAGCAACAGAAGGAGATCAGTGTGAATTGGCTCTCTTGAAGCAGTTGGTGAGTTTAAACTGCCAACTTCTCAGTTACAACCAAGAGCTTAACCATTGTGCCACCAGCCTTCCTTGTTGTTGTTGTTGTTATATGCCGTGGAGTCGGAAGCGACTCATAGCGACCCTGTACAGGGTTTCCGAGGGTGTAAATCTTTACGGGAGTAGAAAGCCTCATCTTTCTCCTGCGGAGCAGCTGGTAGTTTCAAACTGCTGACCTTGCGGTTCACAGCCCAAGTCGTAACCACTACGCTACCAGAGCTCCTTTAGGAAGGCTCATATTTCTCAAATTCAAAAGAAAGAATGTTCAGAAACTAAACATAAGAAAATAGGAAGGGCTTTTATAAAACCCTGAAGTTCTCAAATCAAAATACCTGAGATGGGATGTAGGGAAGGAACAGAGCATTGCAAAAGGATCCAGAAGCCATAAAAGTAACTTTCTTAATTTGGGAAATGCTTCAAACAAGTAACGGAATAGATGTTTTCCCCCTCACAAGTAAAAACCACTCTACTTTTATTGACTTAATAGAATCAATTAAAGGACTCTGGAAAACAATCCAGAATAGACAAATAGCATTAAAAGCTATTTTTTCAGCTATCTAGTGTTGCTATAGCAGAAATACCATACATGGATGGTGTTAACAAACTGAAAGTTATTTTCTTACAGGTTAGGAATATAGAAGCCCAAATTTAGGGTGTTGGCTCTAGAGAAAGCCTTTCTCTCTGTTGACGTTGGAGGAAGGTCATTTTGTCTTCCCAGTTTGTGCTCCAGGGTGATCTTTAAATGGCTTGCATCTTTCTTTCCCCATCTCTGCTCTGCATGCTTGTTTAGTCTCTTTAATATCTCAAGAGAAACTGACTCAAAATATACCCTACACTAATCCTGGCTCATTAACATAACATAGGTAAGCCATTTCCAAATGAGAATACAATCACAGGCATAAACCAAACCAATCTTAGTACCATCAAGTCAGTTGAACTCACAGTGAGACTATAGGACAGAGTAGAACTGCCCTAGAGGGTTTTCAAGGTTGTAATTGTTAGAAAAGCACACCATTCTATCTTTCTCCAAAGGGCTACTGGTGAATTCAAACCACTTTGAGCGCAGAACTGCTGCACCACCAAACATAGAGGTTAGGATTTCCAATACACATTTTGAAAGGTAGAAGCCCAGGTGGTGAAGTGAGAGAAAGAGCTGGCAGTCCACTCTGTAAAGATTGTTGTTGTTGTTAAGCGCTGTCGAGTTGATTCTGACCCACAGTGACCCTGTATAGGGTTTTCGAGAAGCAGCTGGTGAGCTTGAACCACCGACCTTGCAGTTCAAACAGTTTTGCAGTCTGGTATATTAACCCACAGCGCCACACCAGGACTTACAGCCTTAGAATTCCTATGGTGAAGTTCTTCGCTGTCCTATACGGTCATCACTAAGAGTCAGAAAGGACTTGAGAGCAATGGATTTTTTTTTTGGGGGGGGGGAGGTAACATAATTTAATCCATGACATTCCACCTTTTGGTCCCACCCAAATTCATGTTGTTGCCACATGCAAAAACACATTCATATATCACATCATCACCAAGGTGTTAAATCAACTCCAAGTCTAAAATGTCATCTTCTGAAGAATCTAAATCAATATGCATGAAAGTTTTGGCATATTTTATCCTGGAGCAAAATTCCTCTTCAGCTGTGAGCCTATAAAATCAAAACTACAAGTAATGTGCTGCAAAGTACAATGGCAGAACAGGTACAAGGTAGAAATTTCCTTTACAAAGAGAAATTGGAGAGAAAGATGTGATATCAGGCACCAAGCAAGTCCAAAAAAACCCAGCAGAACAAATTACATTAGCTCTCAAGATTTGAACATGATCTTCTCTTCCATTAGACCATCTGGGCAATGGTCCTGCTCTCCAGACTCTGTGTGTTGGCCATAGTGTGTGGATTCTGGGTAGAGATCTCTCGACCCTGGGCTTCCACTCTGCCTTCCAGATCCACTAAGGTGGTAACTGTTCTCTTGACTTCGGGCGGCCCCATTCCCCAAGTCCTTCTGAGTCCGTGGGCATGGCATCTCCACCCCCTCACCTTTGGGCAGTGACCCCCCCACCCATTCCCCCACCCCCGGCTCTCATAAACTGCAGCCTCACACTCTGAACTGAGTTGGTGAAGATCTGAATTGGTGCAGGCTGTGCCTCTACCCTTTGAATTCAATGAAGTCTTGCTTTCTGTGCTTCTTTTAACAATTCTACTGATACCAGAGCTGCTCCAGGAATAGTCTATTTTTTATTGGAGGCCAACAGATGTATCACCTTTGGCCTGTTTCCTGTCTGTAGAATTCAACATTCTTTCCTTTTATATTTTCTCTGTTCTCTTCAGTCTAAACTGATAAGTTCTCTCTTGGTAATTGGCTTAATTCCTTTAACAAAGGCTTGTATATCCCATCCTTGGTAAAATTCTAGTACATGTGACCTTAGTTTGTAAAACAGAATTTTCCAAATCTTTAAGTCTTGGTTTTATTTTTAAGATTTTTAAAAATTTAAGATGAAGTCCATCTTTTTCCTTTCACATTTTACAATAAGTAAAAAGAAGAAACAACGTAGTCTCTTTAGATTTTTGCTTGGAAATCTCCTCAACTAAATATCCATGTTCATCACTTGCAAGTTCTACCTTCCACAAAACATTTGAACATAAATCAGGGGTTATTTTCCACTGTATGAAAATGTCACCCTTCTTCCATTGTTCAATCGCATGCTTGGTGCTTTCTTGTAAGTCTTTGACTGTTGTTGTTGTTATTATTAAATGATATTGAGTTGGATTTCCAAGGAGCAGTTGGTGAGTTTGAACCACTGACTTAGTGGTCCAATGCAGCACCCCATCAGGACTCCAATCACAGGCATAGAGGTTAGGATTTACAACACATATTTTGGGGAGACATAATTCAATTCATAACAACTGTGAACTAAAACAGGTACTTTATTGCAGATGCATACAGCAGTCCTTGTCATAGCTGTCCCATCCTACAAAATGAACAAATGGAATAGAAGTGTCTTGATAAATGCATTAGCAATAACTGAACTAATGAGCCATCGAGACGTAATACTAAGATCTCAGAAATGGGCAATACATTGAAAAAGCAACCTGCACAGATTTCAGCCAAAGGGTAGTCTGTCATGTCCTGTCACATAGACAGCTTTCCATGTGAGACCTTGGATTGGAAAGCTTAACTGATTTGGGATTAAATAAACCTTTGTTTCAAAAAGTCAGAGCCACACCAAGGGAAGTAACTGTTTTCATTGTCTTCTAGCTCTTTCTTCCAAAGCAAGTTTTTGGAATTCACACTCTACTCCAGAAGTTAACATGAAACTAAGCAATTAAACTGAGAAACTTGGTACCAAAAAATTTAAAATGCTCGAAGATCATGGATCATACATCTATGATAAACCAATAATTTACAAACTTGCAACATGTTAATTGGAGTCATGGTGTGGCACCATAGGATAAGCACTGGATCAGAAGGTCGGTTTGAACAGCAAGGTCAGTTGTTCAAACTCATCAGCCGCTCCTCGGAAACCCTTTGCAAGGCCGCTATGAGTCAGATCCAACTCGATGGCACTTAACAACAACAAACTTTTTAATTGTTAAATCAAATAATACTTTTCTATATTTTAGTCCTTCCTATTTTTGTGTACATCACAAAATATATAAGATTTGTATCATGATCAAAATTAAATAATATCACCAAGGGACCTATCATTTGTGTTGGATGCCATTTTACAACAAACTTCTCCAGTTTAGTACTTTATAATCATTTAAATATAAACCAACCTGTGGCACATACAGTTAAGCACCTGACTACTAGTTAAGAGGTTGGTGATTGGACCCATCAACAAGAGACCCACAGCCTTATAAACGCTAGACAGCACTCCATTCTGCAGAGATGGGTCAGAATCAACTTAAAGACAAGCTAACATCGACAAAAACCTGTCCTGGGTTTGAAACTTTTATAGACATGTGTGTATGTGTGTGTGTGTTTATATACAGACTACTGCTGGTTTATTTTTTTTAACTTCACACAAAAATTGTCACCTCTTTGAAAGGATCAGAATACAATGCATTGTGTGAAGCTGGTCACGATATCCAAGCCCTGAGATA